TTTCAGGGCTGTAGAGGTCCTCTCTAGGTGCTGATCCACCATCTGATCAGAATATGTACTGGATCCGGGTGACTGCAGTGACCATCTGATCTGGATACAGACTGGATCTGGTGGCTACGGTGACCTCGGAATAAGAAAGAAACAGACTAATATTAGCGTAGATGCCGTGATCGTGGTGATCACATGCACTGCGGAATCTTCTAGAAACTTTCCTTACATGAAAGCTGTGCTGCTTTCCCAATAACAGCGTGAGGGAGATGGGGGACTTTTGCTGCTTTATTTAGAAAAGAATGTCTGTAACTGTATTAAAAGTCAATATCAGGCAGCTGTTGATGTTCTACCCAGCAGGTTAAGGAGGGACTCTACAGAAGAGTTGTGTGTAGTTGTGTGGGTATTGGTTGACTGGAAACGGTGGTGTTGTGGTTGTGTAGCTGTGGGTGGAGCAGTGTTGTGTGTTTTCAGATGCGGTTCGGGTGTGTGTCTGGTCTGTCGGCTCTGTTTTCTGTGTTGGTTGAGAGTCTGTGAAGCAGCCACAGAAACGAGGAAGCAGCGGGCAAACAGTCACGTCACTGGAGGATCCGTCTAAAGGCCTCGTTCACACATGAATTAGGGTTCAAGCCCTCTCTTTTGATTCAAAGAAATGGACAAACTCTGTTAAACAATTTAGTATGCATCTAAGTTCATGTCATCACATTCATTGTAATGTTTCATATTTGAAAAAAAACACACCAAAAAGCTGTTGCATGAGAAGCCTTAGCCAAAAGGTGGTCTTAATTTCTCAAAATAATTTGGTCCCAAATGTCAGCCTTAAAAATCTCTAAACATCATTACATCGCATAGCAAAATATCAAAGCACACATTTCACAACACAATGCACAGATCTCATACTGTTAATAGTGTTATTATAAAGAATAGATGTAGTTTGTCATTGCTGACATGATGAAGAGAAAAGACACTTGATATAATGTTTATATAACATTATTGAAGTTATTATTATTTAACATATTTTGGGGTCATTGTATGAAAACAAGGACAAGTCTGTCTGACTTGCTGCCATTCTTTCTCAGTTATGCATCACTAAAGCATTTGTGTAGATAAACTAGACTGTCTTTATTAGATCATCTTCAGCTAGTTTGAGGCTGGACATTCCTCTGTGTTTCGAATGTCTCTCTTATTTTATGTGTAAATCTATGCAAATTAACGTGAAGAGACGTCTGTGTGTTTCATGGCTGTGATGGGAGAGGATCACTGATGCTGTGTTAAACAGCTGCTGCTGAATGAATAGATTAATATTTAATGTTTAAATGAATGATTCTTTCTCTTTGATTACTGTGAAGGACAACAGAGTTTAGCATTTTGCTATTCTCAACCATATGATGACATGCACAATCATTCAGAACCTCTTCTGTATCACTTCTTCAGAATGAAGTTATTAAAAGTCATTCTCTCTGGCTGATCCATTACTGACGGGTCTGATATGTGACGAGCTAGAACAGAATGAATGAATGGATTCATCCAATAATGTGTGAATGTGTTCTGGACACGCTCTCTCTCAGCAAACGCTCTGACAGAAACCGGAGGCAGTCGTGTGTGCTGTTGATCAGTGATGCTGCAGAAGATCCTTCAGCCTCAGCACAGAAGCGTCTCTGATCCGTGTCTGTGTGCTCCAGGTCGCCGGAGAACAGAAGTATCACCCAGAATGCTTCACCTGTCTGAGCTGCCGAGCGTTCATCGGTGATGGAGACACGTATGCTCTGGTGGAGCGGTCCAAACTCTACTGGTGAGTGACCTTCACATTATTCTCATGACAAATGGCTCCAGTTCTTTGTTCTTGACTTGAGCGTGTGCATTACGGGTTATTAATATGTGAGATGTAGCGGAGCAGAAGATGCTGTTTATCTTCATATCGTGCCATCACTAATGTTTCCCAGCGGAGGGACTTCATAAATGTGTCCATAAACCTTCCTATGGAGCGCATCTGCTTTATTCATGGGAAAACACTGAGAAGTCAATAAGCTGCTCAATAAAACATGATTTTTAGAGTTTTTTTTTTTTTTTTTTTGCTAACTGGCAATTCTGCAAAAATAAAAACATATATAATAACAATAACAATAATAACAACACATAATAATTTCAGTTACTGTAGCAATATGTTGAAATGTACAGTTTGATCGTTTGTAAACACAGTAAACTGTCCACATAGCATGATGTATGAATATGATTTGAGCCAGAACAGCATATTAATAAATAACTAATAAACCTAGTAAATGTTGTTGTGATGTTTAGCATAATATATGGGGACATTTGGCTTTAATTTCACCTTTGCGTTCCAAAAATTATTTTAAAAATGGTAACACTTTTAGATTAGGGAACACTATTCACTATGGACTTGTTGCTCATTAGCATGCATAGTACTAGCATATTGACTGTTTATTAGTACTTATTAATGCATGTCCATATTATAGATCCCTTAACCCTACCCCATACCTAAACATAAGTTCTACAACAACTACCTTACTTACTGTCAATAAGCAGCAAATTTAGAGTTTATTGAGGGAAAACTGTTAGTTAATAGTGAATGTGTTCCCTAATCTAAAGCATTAGCAAAAAATAAATAAAAACTTCCAAAATGTGTACACTTTAACCTGCTGTTTTTTAAATCATGTGTGTGTCCCAGAATGATTAGTGAGCCCTTATCAACTTACTTTCATAATCATCACCACTTATATTTATAATGACTGGAATGTTCCAGTGTGAAACACAGTTTCATGGCAGCTCAGATACTTGAACTGTTTAACTAGTTCTTATATTAAGCATTATACGTAGATGTTTGCTGATGTTATTAAGTAAAAGTATAATGTCACCAGATCATCAGAAATCCATGATATGACATCTTGTCCGTTAAACATGATATAAACTTTTAAAATCATGTTCTCGTATGAAATCATAGAGTGATTTCTGACATGTTTTGTGATGTTGTGATGGAGAGCGTCTCTTCTGCTGTGTGTTGAATGCATGCAGTCTGTCTGATGGTAATGATCGGCTGTGTCTCCCTCTAGTGGACACTGTTATTACCAGACGATCGTGACTCCGGTCACTCTGCCCGACTCGCCGTGCTCCAGGATTCCTCACACGGTCACGCTAGTGTCCATTCCCGCCTCCACCGATGGGAAACGAGGCTTGTCCGTGTCCATCGATCAGGGCTCCAGTCCCAACGGCTTCAGCCCCGAACACACACACACCGTCAGAGTCTCCGAGTGAGTGTGAAAACACTCTGCTCACTTACACCTCAACACAAACAGAACATTAGAATATTTAAACATGCAGAACATGAGAATCCTGATCAGAGGGAAAGATTCTGTTCTGATTTGTAGGTAACTGTATAAGTGTAAGAGCTTCTGTGATGCTGGAGAACGTGATGATCAGGATCATGTAGCTCTTATGCTGATCATTTACTTTAATGACAACAACACTGATACATTTACAGATCAATAATTAGGAGTAAAATATAGTTATGACTGATAACTCATATCAGATGTGTTTGATATTTTTGTGTAGAATTTACACAAGTCATTTGAATGGGGGGAAAATAAAGACTGATGATGATCTGCCAGTATACAGACTAAAGATACAAGTGATGATCAGCAGGAGTCTGGCCAGTCTTGTATTTCCATTAGAAATCGTGTGCTCCTTCATGTCTTCATGTGGTTTTGTCCGTGTGTTCAGGGTGGACCTAGAGTGCATCAGTCCAGACGTCAAGAACTCTATTCATGTTGGCGACCGGATCCTGGAGATCAATGGAACCCCAATCCAGAACGTTCCTCTGGACGAGGTGAATACAACCCTTGTGCAGATGATTCACACGTATGTGACGGCTTTATTCTATAGAGCCACAGTTAGTTTGACTGCAGACGGACTGCAATTCATGCATTCATTCATGTTTCTGGCCTTCATGACAGTGTGTTTGACTCAACGCCTCGTGTGTGTGTGTGTGTGTCAGATTGATCTGCTGATCCAGGAGACCAGTCGTCTGCTACAGCTGACCATTGAACACGACCCTCATGACCACGGCCCCTCGGAGGACCAGGTGGACGGGCCGACACCCCCTTCTGAGGGGCCCAGTCCCATCACGCCCATCACACGGCCCCCCAGCCAGGACATTAACACCTTGCGCTCGCGGATCATCACGTCAGTAAAGCACCACGCTTTTGCTGTGGCTACAGTTAGTTCCGCACATGTATCACACACAGCCAGTGTTTGTTAAGTCAGGAATCGATTGTTAGTGTTTCAACAAGTATCCAAACTTTGGCATGTAACTCCTCACTGCATACCAACATGCTAACAGCTACACAATCTCTTGCGCTGGATCACCGTCTCGATGTGTGTGTTTGGTCCATTTAGTTGTCATCGGCTGTTGTGATGCATGTTATTCTACTTGAGTTATTTGAGGTTGATTTGAACACAGTCGATGTGTGTGTTTGCGCAGGCGCAGCTACAGTATTGATAAATCTCCGTGCTCCAGTAACACTCCGTCTCCACTGTCTCTGAGGAAAGACATCGGCCGGTCCGAGTCGCTGCGTGTCGTGTCCAACAGCACACACCGAATATTCAGAGCCTCCGACCTGATCCACGGAGAGGTTCTGGGTACAGGCTGCTTCGGACAGGCCATAAAGGTGAGCACACACTCTCTGTCCTCACTATACACACAAACACACACACACTCTCTCTGTCCTCACTATACACACACACACACACTCTCTCTCTGTCCTCAATTCACACACACACACACACACAAAGTGGGGACATCCCATAGGCGTAATGGTTTTTATACTGTACAGACCGTATATTCTATTGCCGTACACCAACCCTACCCCTAAACCTACCCCTCACAGAAAACTTTGTGCTATATGTCCTCTCTACACACACACACACACACTCTCTCTGTCCTCACTATACACACACACACACACTCTCTCTCTGTCCTCAATACACACACACACACTCTCTGTCCTCTCTACACACACACACACATACACTCTCTGTCCTCACTACACACTCACACACACACACACACACACACACACTCTCTGTCCTCACTACACACACACACACACACACACACACACTCTCTCTCTCTCTGTCCTCACTACACACACACTTTCTCTTTCTGTCCCATACACTGTAGAAAAGTAAAGCCAAAATGCCCCAGATATGGCTGCTATCTTGCACCGATTATGTCATTTAGTGCCCGAGTCTGCGCAGTAGTGATTCGTTTGGAGCCCGAGCCTGTGCAGTAGTGATTTGTTTAGAGCCCGTGTCTGCGCAGTAGTGATTAGTTTGGAGCCCGAGTCTGCGCAGCAGTGATTAGTTTGGAGCCCGAGTCTGCGCAGCAGTGATTTGTTTAGAGCCCGTGTCTGCGCAGTAGTGATTAGTTTGGAGCCCGAGTCTGCACAGCAGTGATTAGTTTGGAGCCCAAGTCTGCGCAGCAGTGATTTGTTTAGAGCCCGTGTCTTCGCAGTAGTGATTCGTTTGGAGCCCGAGTCTGCACAGCAGTGATTTGTTTAGAGCCCGTGTCTGCGCAGCAGTGATTTGTTTAGAGCCCGTGTCTGCGCAGCAGTGATTCATGCAGCAGTGATTCGTTTGGAGCCAGAGTCTGCGCATCAGTGATGCATTTAGAGCCTGAGTCTGAGCAGCAGTGATTCGTTTGGAGCCCGAGTCTGCGCAGTAATAATTCATTTGGAGCCCGAGTCTGCGCAGCAGTGATTCTTTGAAGCCCGAATCTGCACAGCAGTGATTCATTTAGAGCCCGGGTCTGCACAGTAGTGATTCGTTTGGACCCCGAGTCTGCGCAGCAGTGATTCGTTTAGAGCCCGAGTCTGCACAGCAGTGATTCATGTAGTGCCCGTTGGAGCTTGAGTCTGCGCAGCAGTGAATAGTTTGGAGCTTGAGTCTGCGCAGCAGTGAATAGTTTGGAGCTTGAGTCTGCGCAGTAGTAAATAGATTGGAATCCAAGTATGCGCAGTAGTGATCATTAGGCCTGTCGCAATAATCAATATATCGACTTACCGCGCAATATATGTAGATGACCTCAATCATTTTTGGTGACGCAATATATCGCCCATTATATTTACTTAAAAATGAATGTCACCGTGTTTTTTGCATTCCACTTCCGCCTGTGTCTTTTGCAGCTTCTCGTACATAACATGGTACACATCTCATACTATTGCGCGCTGTGGTCAAATTTAAAATCTGCAGATATGGTCTTGTTTAGGGATCTAACTGATAAGAAAAAAAGAAAGTAGTGATTGTTTTTCAGCAATAGTGTGCACCCTTAATTTACAGATTTAATTATAATTTACACTTGCGGTCTTTGCACTTGATCACTTGTCTACTTACATGACGTATTTCCTGTGTTTGGCCCAAGTGTTCAAGTGGGCATGAAGATTAGTCTTTACTTTTCATTACCTGATGGGACACACTTATAGTGTTCTAAAAATGCAAGTGTTTACATAGCTTTATTTTGAATTTCAATATTTTGCATTTTAAAATGAACTTCTAATTGTCTGTTCAGTAGACTCTATAACAGATGACATGATTTAGTAATTGCGGTGCTTCCAATTAAGTGATAGAAAGCAGTTGCAAATGTTGTACAAAATACACATACTCATCTTTACACCAATAAAATGTGCAACACTTTGTTTTACTACCAAATTATATGCAATATGTAATTATTAATATTTAACGTACAATGGAAATGTCTCATGAGATCTCAGCAAAAAATTTCACAATTTATTTCTAGAATGTGATGAATGATGGGATATGCTCCTGAGCAGTGAGCAAGATGTGAATGTGTATGTTTGTCAAACATGTTGAGTTATGCATGTATAACATAAAATTAACAGAAATACCTTTTTTGTTTAAATAGAAATGGAACATTACTGTAATTAGTGCCTGCCATCAGTAAATGCTTTTTTTGTTTAACTGAGTTTATTTCAGCTGGTGGTGTACAGATATTATCTCAGAATGAGCTATAGTCATTTACTTCTTTATTTAATATTATCCTAAGACATCATAACTGTTTGTAAAGAAATAGACATTATAAATGTGTTAGGATTGCTCCTGCCTAATATCTCACAGTGGATGTTCAAGATCACGTTGACTGCATTGCATTGTGGGATATGATACTACACTATTATCCTACCTGTACTGTTTCGCACAATGATCATGTTTTCTGTATGCATTAACCATCCAGATGATTTATGAAATTCATCAAACTGTGCCGGATACAACCAGCACAGACTGCACACAATAATCCATCCCACAATGCAATGCACTGGACTGGACCTTCCATTGGCAGAATGACAAATGAACTAGAAGTGATATGAATTTAAAATATAATTTTGTACAAAATTCAATTAAATGCAAAGTAACATGAATAAACTGAATGAATGACGGATCAATGAATCATTCTCAGTTAATGATGTGTGAACACTGCAGCAGTGAAATGCTGGAAACGCTCTTCACTGCATGATGCACTGCTTCACAGACTAGTGTTAAATGTCAGCAGGTCGTATACAGCAGGGAATCACCAGAGGCCTCACGATACAATATTATCACGATACTTGTGTCACGATACAATATTATCACGATACTTGTGTCACGATACAATATTATTGTGATTTTAAATATATTGCGACATTCTGCAATATATTGTAATTTACTACCTTTTTCCAACTTCAAGTTATGTCCCCAAAGGAAAACTTTGGCAACATCTGTTTTAACTAAAGAGAAACATTTCTCAGTTTGTTTATCTCACTTCAGTTTTATTGTTGCAGTGTAAAATGGGATTGTCAAGCAGACAAACCGATCAACACTTTCATGGAAACCTGTCATAATTGTTGTATGCACCTGGCAAACTCAGCTATTAGTATTACAGTCTAATCTAGTCCACCTTAATTAAATGTAAACAGGTATGCACTGCTGTGCTACTACAGGTATTTTGAACAGTGCGACTTGAACTTGTACAAAAAAGTTGTGCAGACCCTTCAGCAATTGGGGCATTTGAAAGTAAATTACTGTTAAATTTAAAATAAATAAAACATAGTCTAACATCCGATTTAAACGTGTAAGGGCTTTCCTGATAACTTTCCGTGATGGCGCAATCTTTATTTTACTAACTTACAGCATGCTGAAGGTGACCCAGCTGACCTCACCAGAAAAAACTCAACACCACCATCTAGTGGGCTGTAAAGAAATTGATTTCATTATTCTACCAAATAGTATAATAAAAGATTGATACTTGTCGTCCGTGTATCGATACAGTATTGCCGCGGAAAATATCGCGATACTATGCTGTATCGATTTTTTCCCCCACCCCTAGTATACAGTATATACTGCGAGCATACTGTATACTCAGGCTCTATGCAGCAGACTGTGGCAGATGCAGCAGGATAAAGTACAGAATGAGTATGATAGCACTGTGATAGTATGCTGTTGTCAGTGTCTCATCAGTGTGTGTGTGTGTGTGTGTGTGTGTGTGTGTGTGTGATTGTCAGGTGACTCACAGAGAGACGGGAGAGGTGATGGTGATGAAGGAACTCATTCGATTCGACGAGGAAACACAGAGGACCTTCCTCAAAGAGGTGATGACACACACACACACTACAGCACACACACACTACACACACTAAAGCACACACACACACACTACAGCACACACACTACACACACTAAAGCACACACTTATTTATTGCTCTGTGTGTTCAGGTGAAGGTCATGAGATGCTTGGATCATCCTAACGTGCTGAAGTTCATCGGCGTCCTCTACAAAGACAAGCGGCTCAACTTCATCGCTGAGTACATCAAAGGAGGAACGCTGAGAGACATCATCAAGAATATGGTGTGTGTGAACAATATGCTCAGGAGTTTGTTTGAAGTGATAATGTAAAGCACGTCTCATGTTCAGGACAGTGTGGACTGTGCTCTTTCCCACAGCAGCTCACATTTCAACATCACAGTACTGTGCATAGGAATGCTGTCATGCTGCACTCTTGTACAAGGCTTTATGAAGGTTTGAGCATGAATATTGTCTTTCTGAATGTGAATGTCTGATCTGTGCAGGACAGCAGTTATCCATGGAAACAGAGAGTGAGTTTTGCCAAGGACATTTCCTCTGGGATGGTGAGTCAGTGCTGCCCTCATCTGGACACTCAGCCGACATCACATGACTGCTGGGTCACAGGCTTCATTTCAAACTGTTTTAAATGTTTTCTCCAGTACTTCAGTCATTATTTTACATTCATATTTTATGAGCTAAAAGGGTGAAAAACCTTAAAAGAAATGGTGAAACTTTTATTTTTTGTTAATGGAAACTAAAGCTACATTAAAGGGGTCATATGATGTTGCTAAAAAGAACATTATTTGGTGTATTTGGTGTAATGAAATCTGTTTATGTGGTTTAAGGTTAAAAAAACACATTATTTTCCACATACTGTACATTATTGTTTCTCCTCTATGGGCGAGACCAGAAAGCATAAAAGCACGTGCGGTGAAACCGGCGTCAGCTTTCTGTCATTCAGCAAGCGCTCTGTGTGTGTCAGTCTTATTTGGTGTTGTCTGTCCATTATCACTCTTTATTTTACCAATACGAGTGTAGACAAACATACGGCGAGAGCGGGCAGCATCTCAGGATGTGTGTTCTTCCCTTCCCGCGCTACATTTCGGGTGGGGATAAACACAGTTTGTGTGTTGTCTGCTTGGGAGCAAAACACGCAGAGTCAGCTGACTGTCCGCATTGCGAGTGTTTGTCACTGCGTATGCTTGCTCTCCGCGGGCTCTCTTTGAGGAGGGAAGCCCCGTTCACACTGCCAGCGACTTTTTTCGTTGTATGTCGCTAGACTCCGTGCTGTGAAGACGCTTGTGGGCGTTCCTACTGCTGTAGCTCTAATGTTATTGGTAGACTGCACGTCTGGACATATCTGGACATATAAAATGCAATCACAAACTGTATATTGCCGGTAAAACTAAGATATCATTCTATTATGACTAGGAATTAGACTTAAAAGAAATAAAAGTACCATTCTGCTGTTGGAGAGTGTTGTTATATAAACTACAGCAGTGCTCGTGCATTAAATCATTAACCGGTGCTAAACTGCTCACTGCATCATGTAATGAACAACTCGAACCATCAATGTATGAATCAAACTCACTTAGACAGCCAACAGTTTCTTTTCTACGC